AGCTTTGGCCACTCGGCCGCTGGGTTACTGCGGGGCTCTCTGGTTGCTGCTGCTGCTGCTGCAGCGGTCATCCGCGCCGGTTGGGGGTCAGCTAGAAAGCGGAGCCCAGGCTGTCAGCTTGGGCGCAGCTGCCTCCCCAACCTTCCTTCTCCGGGCACAGTCCGGTGAGAGGTGGCAGGCCGGGAGGTCTGCCTGGGCTGCGGGCGCGTGTGGTCGGGATTGGGTGGCTTTGTACAGCCAAGGGCTGGCGGAAGAGCAGAGAGCCTGTGGGTGCTCATATGTATGCGGACCGGTGCGCTTGGCGTGAGATAGGATTGTGCCTTATTTATGTGTGTTTATTCGCTGCCCCGCTGGGGAGCTAGAACCGAAGGAGCCGAGGAGTGGACCTGGGGGGCGGAGGGGAGGGGACTGATACCTCTTGGGTTTTGTTTTCTTTAGAGAAAAACGTGGTGGGATCTTTTTTCTTGATTGGACTTGGAGCCCCTTTTTAAGGAGAGAGGGAAGCTTCGGAGAGACTCCAGCGCTCCGGGTCCTCCTCGGCTCTCGGTGGGAGCAGCCGTGGCGCCGGAGCTCGCTGTGCGCTCCCGGCCGCGCACGGTGGGTTCCCGGGCTCTGCACCTGATGCGTTCGGGATGTCTTTCCCACCCTGGCGCGCCGGCTGCAAGCTTGCCTAGCCCCTCGCACGCTCCCGCACGCGCTCGAAATGCGCACGATTCCGCCAGCCTGTGGACCCACCGGAATGCACAGACGCGCTCCGCAGCGACCAGCTCGCCTCCTCCCCGCCACGCTCCCAGCGTGTCTAACTCGGGCACGCCGGCAGCTGGTGCCGGAGGCCGGCGACCCTGCTGATGGCTTCCCGGGAATCCTGATCCTGGTTGGGAGACGGAGGACCCTGAGATCTTTTCTTGCTTGGCCCCCCACCACTCGCCGCAGGGCTTTTGTGCTTCCCCTTCTCCTTCGGGTTGCGCCGCCTGGCCGGCCTAGCAACGGCGTCCAGCCGGTTCGGACCTTCTCCTTTCTCCGGGCTCTTTCGCTTTCCCTCTTTTTTTAGCGCGGTTCCCTTTCTTCCAGGCGCCTGACTCTCGGGGAAAAGTTGCTTTCCCAAGTTTACAAAAGTCCTGTGCAAGTCTCGGCGGGGGTCGCTGGGAACGAGGGGTGTGTTGGGAGCGCGATCGATCCTCGGAGCTCTGGCGGGTTAGCGCTTTGCTCAGCGCCGCCTGGCTGATCGCTGCAGTTAGCGACGGTCCGATCGCGGGTGCGGAGCCGTGGATGAGGGAGAGGGCACCTTGATTTGCCTGAAAGCCCAAAAGGCTCCTTTGGGGGAAGGTATTCGGGCAGCGAACCTTCTTTATTTTGGCTTCTCCCTCTTAGTTCTCTGAAACTCTGATCTCTGCCGAAAGCTCATCATGTTCATGAAGCCTTTGATGAACGAATATCTCACCCTTGTTGATGCCCTCCGTTTCCACTTTGGGGTGGGCAGTAAGAGTGGCCAGCCAGTACCATTAACCTTTTCTTCACGAGTTTTGTGCTGAAGAGTCAGTCCTTAAGACTCCTATTGAGGGTGGAGGAGAGCTCCATGAAGAGTGGCTGAGAAGCCTACCTCTCTCCACCCTCTCCCCAGGCCATTGGCTGTGTGAGATGTTGACCACAGTTAGGCAGAGGCTGTGAGATTTTTCTGTCCATGTCCCAGTGGCTGTTCAGAATTGGGAGCCACTGAGTGATCCAGAACACGCTCTGGGAGAGGCCTTTGTGTTCCAGCCCCATCTTCCCCACCTTCTGGATGTAACTCAACCAGAGATGCTGGTGCCAAAGTCACTTCTAGAGCCATGTCCCATGTCAGTTTTTCTCCTTGTCACTGGACTTGCCAACACCTGGGAGGCATCCAGTCTGGCATGAGCCCTCAAGGCTGTTGGGAACATACCCACCCTCCCATGGTGTCTCTCTGCTTTCTTGTTTTAGAGCATTCTGTCCATTGGGCACTTGTGGGCAGGAGGGAAGAGAGGAGGCTGTAACATCTTGTATAATTGTATACTGGCATGTTAATACTAGTTATGCTAGTACACACAAACGCACACACACACACACACACACACACACACACACACACACACCTTGGGCATACACAGTAACTTTGAGGAACTTGTAGGTAGAAATGACAGGCTAGAATGTGAATTGTATGTATGTGCCCTTGTCACAGCCTAAGAATGGGTCTGCCAATCCTTTTCAGCCCTGACTACAGAGTGGGAGGACAGAGGCCATAGAAGGCACAGGATGATGGAGAGAGGGCATGGCTAGGAGAGGACAGCCCCATTGCTCGTAGATGTCAGGCTACCACCACATCTAGCAGCCACGGCAAGATTGTCTTGTCTCTTAAGGCCATCTCAGTGAAGCAGAACTAGAAAAACATTGAAGATGAGGGTTTACTTATAGCAGGTTGACAGTAAAGCTGGATGCTTAAGTTGACTTTAGAAGGGGTTAAAACTCGTTCATTTTAAGTATGTTTGTGAGCCTCATGCTGGACATTGGTCTTACATGGGCAGTCTCTATTCTCGGGCTTAAAGAATGCCTAGGACTCACTTGTATCTTCATCTCATTTCATCCAGCAGATGCTACCTACAGAGCAGTTGATTAAACATATGGGCAAGCATAACCTCCTTTTTACTCTCAGACCCCTGGGCTTGTTGTGGAGGCTGATTCATAGATTTCTTGGAAGCCCAAGCCCCTTCCATTAAAACCCTCAAGAGCCTCTTGCCAGAGTGGGGGCATACTGTGATGTTTGAATTCTTATTTTTAGGGGATGTTGTCACTTGGTTGGTTCTTTTAACTCTTCTCTTCTTCCTTTCTCTAGTCCCCTCCACTAGCCTGGGAAGCCTAGCCTGCTGCACCACGTAGAGCAAAGAAGGAAAGAGAGCCCCATGCCTGAGCCAAGGGGAGCATTATGGATCTGACAAAGATGGGTATGATCCAGCTGCAGAACCCTAGCCACCCTACGGGGCTGCTGTGCAAGGCCAATCAGATGCGACTGGCCGGGACTTTGTGCGATGTGGTCATCATGGTGGACAGCCAGGAGTTCCATGCCCACCGGACGGTGCTGGCCTGCACCAGCAAGATGTTTGAGATTCTCTTCCACCGAAACAGCCAGCACTATACTCTGGACTTCCTCTCCCCAAAGACCTTCCAGCAGATTCTGGAGTATGCCTACACGGCCACACTGCAAGCCAAGGCAGAGGACCTGGATGACCTGCTGTATGCAGCTGAGATCCTGGAAATTGAGTACCTGGAGGAGCAGTGCCTGAAGATCCTGGAAACCATCCAGGCATCTGATGACAACGACACAGAGGCCACCATGGCCGATGGTGGGGGCGAAGAAGAAGAGGACCGCAAGGCTCGATACCTCAAGAACATCTTCATCTCGAAGCATTCCAGCGAGGAGAGCGGGTATGCCAGCGTGGCTGGACAGAGCCTCCCTGGGCCCATGGTGGACCAGAGCCCTTCGGTCTCCACCTCTTTTGGTCTTTCAGCCATGAGTCCTACCAAGGCAGCAGTGGACAGTTTGATGACCATAGGGCAGTCTCTCCTGCAAGGAACTCTTCAGCCACCTGCAGGGCCTGAAGAGCCCACATTGGTCGGGGGTGGGCGGCACTCCGGGGTGGCTGAGGTGAAGACAGAGATGATGCAGGTAGATGAAGTCCCTGGCCAGGACAGCCCTGGGGCAGCTGAGTCCAGCATCTCAGGAGGGATGGGGGACAAGCTTGAAGAAAGGAGCAAAGAGGGGCCTGGTACTCCCACTAGAAGCAGCGTCATCACCAGTGCCAGAGAGCTTCATTATGGGCGAGAAGAGAGTGGTGAGCAGCTGTCACCTCCTGTTGAAGCTGGTCAGGGACCCCCTGGGCGACAGGAGCTCCTGGTACCCCCAGTGGAGAAGCATTTGGGCATATACTCAGTATTGCCCAACCACAAGGCCGATGCTGTGTTAAGCATGCCATCTTCAGTGACCTCTGGTCTCCATGTGCAACCTGCCCTGGCCGTCTCCATGGACTTCAGCACCTATGGGGGCCTGCTGCCTCAGGGCTTCATCCAGAGGGAGCTGTTCAGCAAGCTGGGTGAGCTGGCTGTAGGCATGAAGGCCGAGAGCCGTCCTCTGGGGGAGCAGTGCAGCGTGTGTGGGGTCGAGCTTCCGGACAACGAAGCCGTAGAGCAGCACAGGTAATCCCCTGCCCCAACCTTGCGACCATGCCCATCTTCTGGCTCTGATGGCAGTCCTTTGTGCCTGTCCCATCCTGAATCTGGGGACCTGACTCGTCTGTGCTCCTTGAAAAGCAAACAAAACAAAAACAAAAACAAACCATTCTTTCCCATATTAAGGTATAGGAGGTCACACAGTTATTTTCAGAGTTCAGTAAGAAGAAATGGTTCCTATCTAAAGCATGAGGGAACTCATGGGCCCAGCATCTCAGCCCTCCTGTCTGTTTTGCTTTTTGGGCTTCCATCTGGTTTTCTTGTGGTTTGATCTATGCTTTTGTTTTGCCCAGAGTGACTAACTGTTTAATAAAAGTGGCAAGAAAAAGGGCAGGAAGTGGGGGTTCAGGCTGAGGGTCTCCTGTGGCCAGGGATCAAGCTATGTTATCACGCTTGCTTTTCCTATCCCCACTGGTCAAAGATTGTTTAATGGCAGGCCATTGTCTTCAGCCCAGGACAGTAGTATGGGTTGTATGTTGTTTAAGTCCTAAGCATACCCTAAGTCCCAAACATCTGTCCTGGCAGACACAATGTGAGGTAGAGAAGGTTCTAGTTAATTTCAAGGAGAAGGAGAATATAAGAGTTTTGGTCTTACAGCCTGTATAATCTGTTCTTATCCCCCTCTCTGAATCACAAGGGCTAGTCTTCACTGCCTTTGGGCTTCTGCTTTAATCTCTGCAAAATAACCCCCCTTTGAGTTTTTGTGACATGCTTGGTTCAGGACCAGTGCTTTACCTGGAATTGAACATTTGTTACAATATTCTTAAGAGGTAGGTAGTGTTTTTGTTGTTGTTGTTTTGGTTTTCCCCAGACAGGGCTTCTCTGTGTAACAGTCTTGGCTGTCCTGTAACTCTTATCTGTAGACAGGGCTAGCCCTCTGCTTCCCAAGTGGTAGGATTAAAGGCATGAGCCACCATTGCCCCGCTGGCTGGTAGAGGATTTGGTTTTTTTGTTTGTTTGTTTTTACTAATACACAGGAGTCTTAGCGAGACAGAAAGATTCAAACTAAGACTTAACCTGTCATACATTGTGGTTCCTTGTAGCCATCCAGTGAAGAAGAGGACCCCTCCTGAAGAACAGGTGGGGGAACATTGACCAGTGCTCATCAGAGAGGGAGTCAGTAGTGGGTTTGTCTTTTCTGTTTGCCATAAACTATAAGCCCACCATTTACATCCCTCATCCCTGGCCCCCAAATCTGGTTTTCTGTTGTCATGGATGCTAACCTTTTGCACAACTTCTGGCTGGCTGTTTTGCTGATCTTGGGTGGATTTTCCACTTTTGCAAGCACTCTCCTCTTCTTCCATTCCTGTTGCTCATTTAGGGGACCTGAGGTGTGTGTGTATGGGGGAAACAGATATAATCATCTCTAGCCGCAGCTTGCTCCGAAGCTGCCTGATTGGCTGCTCTGAGCTGAACTCTATGGAAAGTGGCACTCAGCTAAAAGTAGCCATTTTTTTCCAGTGATACATAAAATAACAACTACGGATATGTGTCTTCTTGGTACTTGGTCTGCTCAGAAATAGACTGACAAATTGTGCTTGTTTTTGCTTACGTTTTCCTTAAGAGGAAACCCCCTCCCAAACCTGACCGGATAGTTCTGTCATCTTCTCCGGATGAGAGCATGAGGTGAAAAGTGGGGTATGGTGGAAAGTCACTTTTTAAGGTCACTTTTGGGGTGGGGATGAGGCTAGAGAGACAGCTCAGTTGGTAAAGTGCTTGCTATGCAAGCGTGAGGACCCGAGTTGGGATCCCTGTGTAAAAAGCCATGCACACCAGCAAAAAGCCAAGCTTAGCAAAATGTGCCTGTAATCCTAGCCCTGGGGAGGTGAGATAGACAGCCGGTCAGCCTAATCTAAAAGCTCCAGGTTCAACAAGAGGATCCAAGTGGAGAACAACAGAAGAAGATGCCCCACAAACACACACACGTGCATAACAGTGTGCACACACAAATAAGTGCTTTTTCTTCTGACTCATTTTTTTTTGAAAAATTAATTACTTAATTTACTTTTGAGGCAAGATCTTCCTGCGTAGCCCTAGATAGCTTGGAACTGCTATGTAGATCAAACTAGACTTAAACACACAGAGCCCTACCTGTTTCAGCCTCTGGTGAGCAGTGCTGGGATTGAGGTTGTATACCGAGTTCTTGGCCTTTTTCTAATTCCTGAATCTTCCAGGCCTTCCTTCCAGAACCAAGAGTTCTCCATGAGTCTATGTACATAATTTTCTTTCTACTCAGGAAGGCCACGAAGGTACCAAAAAAAAAAAAAAAAAAAAAAAAAAAAAAAAAAAAAAAAAGCCGGGCGTTGGGGGCGCATGCCTTTAATCCCAGCACTCAGGAGGCAGAGGCAGGAGGATCTCTGTGAGTTCAAGACCAGGCTGGTCTACAAGAGCTAGTTCCAGGACAGCCTCCAAAGCCACAGAGAAACCCTGTCTCAAAAAAAAAAAAAAAAAAAAAAAAAAAGCCACGAAGGATGTAACTGTCCCAAGAGTTCTGGGTTTTCATGTGATGGGACCCTAATGGGAATAAATGAGGGTTGGCTGAGCAGTATCCCAAAAGGCTGGGATGGGTAAACCAGCCATGTGCAGGGTGAGCATATTCAGAAGTTCTTCAGCTTTCTGAGGTCAGTTTTAGGGTTGATGCTGATTGAAGTGACATCCAAAGTCACTGGGGCTGTGGCTACCATGTAGTCACCATGAAGGTGAAGAGCTCACCCTTCTGTCCTCTGTGTAGCTCTAGCTTCCTTTCTGTATCCCCCCATTGGCTCCGAGCTCTCATGTATGAGGTTCCAAGCATTCTCATCTACCAGATCCTGTGTGAGGTGGTATAGACTATGTCCCTGTCCTCAAAAGCTTGTCACAATGAGGCTTGATTCTGGAGTCCTTGGTGCTACACCATGGACTGCTGAAAGGAAAAATGTGCTTTTGACTGAGGGTGGAAATGAATCCTTCATCCCGAGCATCTAGATCTGGGGCCACACCCCTGTGTGCTAAGCTGTGAGGTCTGAGGAAATCAAGAGAGGGAGAAGATATTCGTGTGGGGTGTGTGTGTGTGTGTGTGTGTGTGTGTGTGTGTGTGTGTTTGCACACCAATGTGAGCACATTCGTGCATAGTCCTGGATACCCCAGGCTCAATGCACTTTGCGGGAGGCCTTTCCTCTCCTCCCTCCAGGCACCAAGATTAATACACCACCTCCCCACTCCCCACTCTTTTCTGTGCATTGCCCCCCTCCCACCTATCAGCAATCTGAGAAATGTTCAGTGGAAGAAAAATCATCACAGCTACCAGTGCAAACAGAGAAGCAAGATAGAAAAATCAGATTCCAGGAGCTGTGGGAATTGGCTGGGATCCTAACAGGGATGGCTGTGATAGGGTAGAGGCCACAAGGTTTGTTTTATTTTAAGCCAGCAGGTTAGTGTTGGTACAGATGAAGTATCTGGCATTTATATTCTTGCTTTGGGATGAAGAAAGGGCAGAGTTGCAAGGCAGGAAGGGGGTTGGTTATTGAATTGCATGCATAGGTTCCCTCATAACTTGTTCCCAACCTGGGGTGGCATGATGGGAGCACTTCTTGGCTGGACAGAGAGTGGTAATGAAACATGGTGGGGTTGTGTGTTGTGATTCCTGTACCAAATGGCAAGATATCAAGGAAATATCAGATGGAAGAAGAATGGATGGATGGGAGAAAGGGAGAGAGGGAGGGAGGGAGAGAGGGAGAGGGAAAATGGAAGGGACCAGGCACCACTTGGATAAACCAGGTGGCCCTTAACTAACAGAACCTGAAGGAAGCTAGTCAGTGAGAAACCATGATAGGTCAGAAGTCTCCTCTGAATTCTAGACCCAGGGATCTTTCCCAGCAGGTCCCTACATACAAAGGACAGTGTCTGTGAAGAGTTGAGGTCCTATCAGGCTTCTGAAAGACTGGACTGTCCTGGTTAAGACCCACCTGTTTTGTTTCTCTGAAAACCTGGAGCATTTCTGCCTGTGAGTCGGTCTGGATGTGGTCTCGGATCCAGATCACCTGGGTTAGATGTGCCTTTTCATCCCTAACCTTATGCAGTGTCAGTGACTTTACAGAAGCAGCATGGCTGACTGTGTGGAGAAGCAGTCCTCGTTTATGGCTGTATCTGCCCAACGCCCAAGGCAGCTTTTATTGTGCTTCTGGCCTCAGTGCTGCAGAAGCAGAGTGAGGTCCAGATCTTCTTGTATAGGAGCCTCTGCCGGATCAAGTACTGAACAGCCCTCAGGTCAGCTCAGCAGCTTGACTGCATAGTGGAAACTCTTACTTAGCTCTGCAAGGGAGGCTCAGGCACCAAGGAATGATCTTGGCTGGCTCCCTGAACCCCCCGTGTAGAGCCCTTCCCCATGGCTTCGTGGAGCTGGCTAGAGGACACATGAACCATGTAGCTGAGATGTGGGAGCTCTGTCTGCTCAGCTTAGCCTCTCTCACATGGCAGATTCTCTTCTGTGAGGGACCCTGCAGAGGTCTGATGGCCTTTAACAGCTTGTTTTGAGACAGGATCTAGTGGACTCCAGTTAGCTTCAAACTTACTATATAGCTGAGGATGGCCTTTTTGAACTTCTGATCCCCCTGCTTTCACCTCCTGAATGCTGGGAACCACCATACCCAGTTTTCATGGTGCCAAGGATCAGATCCAGGGCTTTGTGTATGCTAGGAAAGTACTCTACACACACCCTGCCCACCCACTGAGCACACACACCCTACAGAGCACACACCCTACTGACTGAGCATACGCACCCCATCACCTGAACACGTGCACCCTACCAACTGAGCACACACACCCTACCCACTGAGCGCATGCACCCTACTGACTGAGCACACATACCACCAGCTAAGGCTTCCCCAGCCTTCTTCTTCCTCTACCGTCTCCTCCCATCTTCCTCTCCCCACCCCCATCTCTCTGTCAATTCACACTGTAGCCCAGACTAGCCTTGAACTCCGGATGGT